TAGATAATAGTAACTGGTAAATACTAGTAATYGGGTTGGTTTCATCAATTCTGCAGAAATTCCCATGGGAGTTGGTAGGAAGATGTTCACAGTGTTTCTACAAAAAGCACTGATCTCATGTTAGTGCTRAAGCCCTTACTTGTCAGTGGAAGTAAATAKTTCTGAAATAATTTAATCTGTGGTCTGGYAGTGTGGTAGGAGGCAAWAAGARCTCATAGTACTTGCTTCCAGCAGTTTCCTTATTCTAGCTACATTAAATGAGATTGTTTGTAAAATAAACATTTTTATTTTTCACATTATATAAATGTTTGACTGGGAGGGGAAAGACTGTTCAAGACAGAAAGAATTTAAAAATTGTACTGGCTTCCATTCTGCTTTATATTCCTAAGGATTTTTTATAATTCATCTTGCAGTTGTGCAATCATATTGCTTCAGGCAAGAAATGTCAGTATGATGGAAACTGCTCATTTGCTCACAGTCCTGAGGAGAGAGAGATGTGGACCTATATGAAGGAGAACAGCAGTAAGTAAAAGASTAAATCTAACATTGTAAATCTTACTGTTCTGCTTTTCACTCTTGTACTTCAGTTACTAATCTAGTAATCTAGTTTCTTTTACTATCTTTTGTAGAGAAACTTGCAGGTGCCCTTTTCTTTAAATTTAAATAAACCCAGACTGGGCATTCAAAAAGAGTCTTAAATAAAAATAGCTGTATTGTGTATTTGTTGYTTGCTTTTTATTTTAACAATAACTAAATTTACCAAGAACTGTAGCACACATGAGATCAGTACTTTGAGATTCAGGTGTTGAGATTCAGGTGACTGCAGCAGCTCAGTCATTGTCTGTACTTTGGGTGCCCATTCAGAAACCTGTAACCTTTTGCTGTCCCCTCGATAGGCACAGAGGGTCTTGGTAAGTAGCCAGAAATGCCTGTTCCCCTTGGGTCTTTATCTCTAAACTGTGTAACTGTCTRCATTTGTTTCCTTGCTTTTTTTCTTACATAGTTGGGGACTGAATTATGCTCACACACTCAGTCGTTTATCTAGTGTTCTCAAACTCTTGCCTTAATTGCTAATTACTTATTTTAGCTTCTGCTCTCATTAGTTCAAGACTTGGAGCAGTTGTATGAAATATGGCTAAAAACTCAAAAACCAGAAAAAGGAGATGATACAGCTGCTCAGGCAAACAAAGAAAATGGGAAGCAAATTCACATGCCAACTGACTATGCTGAAGTTACAGTAAGTAATCACAGTTATAATCATAAATCCAAGCATGTGGGGTTTTGTTGGGCTTTGTTTTTTCCCAGTCAGTAACTTAGGTTGTTTCCCTTATTTTCTTGGTGCTTCTTTAGACCATAGCTAGCTACACGAAATCTGACACTGTACATCAGTTCTTCTAAAGCCAGTGGAGATCATAAACTTTAGGTGATTGTTTCAATAACTCTATCTGTTTAGGTAAACAATATTCTGCAGGTCAATATAAAGGAAACATTCAAAATGTATTAGGCGACGTTCAGTGCTTACAGCATTGAATTCTTAATGTTTTGTTTTCAAATTCCTTGTAAAACAGGTGGATTTCCATTGTTGGATGTGTGGGAAGAACTGTAATAGTGAGAAGCAATGGCAGGGTCACATTTCTTCTGAAAAGCATAAGGAGAAGGTTTTCCACACTGAGGATGATCAAAACTGCTGGCAGTATCGCTTTCCAACCGGATATTTTAGCATTTGTGATAGGTATGTCTTTTTTAAGATGGCAAAAATGCTGAAAAATGACGGTTCATGTTTAAATAATTAAGGTTGTTACTAGTTTGGACAAACAAAATTTCTAATATTTCTTAATTTGCATACACCTTTTAACAAGAAATTAAGGAATTGACAGTATTTTAACATGTACTGTTAGAACTCAGGGAGTGACAAGGTGCCTACTTGTGGAACCAAATAAATGYCTGTGTGATGTTAATGAAGGGTTGCAAATTCATTGCAGGTCTGTGAATATTGCTGGTATTATTACAATTYTACTTAGGCATCTGCATATTAGAGCCCAGGAACAGTACCTAGCTGGACAGTGATACTGGAGTTTTAAAGCAAGTAGAAATGTTGTTAGCATCCAACCAAATTTGTTAAAATCGAATGTTTGTTACTAGAAAATATTTATGAACATGTGGAAGAGAACTTCCAAGATCTGTTCATTTTCCCCATCGCTGATTATGTTTTGCTGCTCCCTTTCATTTTTAAGTGCAGCCTGTTTCACCTAACTGCAGTAAATTGTTTTGTAAATCTGTTGAAAATTCCTTCCACTGTTGGAATCCTTTTGGAAGGCTAAAAACTTGGGAATCAGCATTCTGGAGTTTTAAAGTTCAGTTTGCTGGTACAGATATCTTTGTTACTCCATTTCCAGTTAAAGATTTTGAGTGYCTTGGAGATCTTGAGAAATTGTGTAGCATAGAAAGCAAGGTACTTTTCATTCACAGTCATTTAAAAAACATGATGTAAAGAAAATTTAGACACAGTGTGATCATGATAATTCTATAAAAACACTGTTTAAAATCTGTCTTAACAGATATATGGCTGGTACTTGCACTGAAGGAAACAACTGTAAATTTGCCCATGGAAATGCTGAACTCCGTGAGTGGGAAGAACGAAGACAAGTTTTAAGAATGAAACTCAGCAAAGCAAGAAAAGACCACTTGATTGCTCCCAGTGATAATGACTTTGGAAAATATAGTTTTTTGTTTAAAGATTTAAACTAATACTGAGATGACACATACATGTTATCAACTGGAAGCATAAACCAGAAAATTTGACAATAATCAAAAGCATGTGACAGAAAAGCTGCAGGTTTTCTGCTTTTATTGGCATACATTGTTCCTCCTGAACGCAAAGTATGGTAGATTTAGGGGGATTGAGCAGACCTGTCTATGCTCTCATGAAACAGAGTGGTGATTAAAAAAATCTGAAGTATTATGTGCTTACTCACCTCCTGTTGGACAGAAAGTTAGGAAATAGAAGGGGGAAGAGTGGTTATAATATCTAGGAAGCCCCCTAGTCTCAGACCTTCAGTTGAAAAACTTTAAGGTATCAAGGTATTGCAAAAGAGWGTTAGTGAGCTAAGAAAATGATGGATGAAAATTCTTCAGATCTTTTAATGGAGAGGATTTGTTTAAAACAAAGTTTGCTACTTATCTATATGTAGGTTGCTAAAAAGGATTTTCTTATTAAAGATTTTAAACAAAATAACCATTTAACTGCAATATACGTTGAATGGGTATTTTTCTCTATTTGTATGTTTCAATATAATTTACTGAAAAAGGATCTTGGGAGGAAAAAAGTATTAATTTTTGAAAATGAAGTAGTTAAAATTCTGTTTCTTGGTCTTTGCTGTTTAAATGATGATTTTGAAAGATTACACTTGTATGTCAGTATTGTGTATTATTGTATGGACTAATGTTGCCTGTAATAAAGAGAATTTACACAAAGCTGTTTTCTGCATGTAGCCTCTCAGGATTGAGATTTTGTAAAAGCAATGATTTGCCAGTTAGCAAAAGCTTTGAGCACCTGTAGCTAAACATTTACTGAGTTGGTATTTGTGTCGCTAGCTGCTTGTTTGCAGTTTTCTGTATTGTCATTAGYTCATGGCATTACTAAAGTAACAGAAATGGCCAATAAGTTGTGATKTAGACAGGCAGTTTGGAGCTACATGGTGCTGGGACACGTTTTCACCCTTGGCCATGGWTGTAAACCACTGCCTCAGCTGCATGCTGGATGGTGCTTCCTCTCGCCTTTCCTGCAGAGCACAGGAAATGGAAAACAATTTGCAGGCTGAGGTGACTCCTGACTGCTGAGCCTTTGTGCTTGCCAGTCACTGGAACTTCTGTTGTGTTTTGGCTTCTCTGCAGATCCCACTTTCAGCTTGCTTTATGTGTTCGCTTATTTACTACTTTTTTTTTCCCAACTAAGCTGCTTTCAGCCGTTCATTCAAAATAACTAGAACCAGGTTTCTTCCCTCATCTGCCCCCCCTTCCCCCGTTGAGTATTTTTCTCTGTTCCTGGTTAACCTTACATAATTAGAAGAGCTTTAACAATGACCTCAGTAGTTCGAATGTAGTCATTGGGCATACATTGTGTATGTAAAAAGTGTTGAACCAAAGTTCAATGATACTCATACACTACGTGAATGYTGTGTCCCTTTCACTTCACAAAAGCACAACAAATTTGAAACCAACACCTTACCTGTGCTTCAGCCATAGCTTGTGAAGTGACTGCTTCTTCCAGGCTGGCTGCAGTACATTGGAGTACGAGATTAGCTTGGTGCTTGAAATACCACCTGCTGCAGTGCTGATTTCTTTACAATGTTTGTAATAAAGTGAGCGTRAGACAGAGTACTATGGACGCTGTTATTTGTGTGACAAAACCTGATTGTATCGTGTGCCTTTCTGAATTGTTTTCTCAATTTTATGCTTTCATTGTTTAATGTAAACTGCTCTGTAAATCATTGGAAATAATTCTAGACAAAACTAAACATGACATCCTTGTTCTSTAAGGCCGGTGTGAAATCTTTCCTGGCTGCGGGGTGGGCCTGGTGGTGAATAGCCGGCGGRGAGGCTCGGGGATTATTCACCCGCTGACCCGGCCACGGGACTGGTAATGGTGCCGAACGCTGAGCACGGGAGGCGAGCACAGCACCCCCGTCCCTTTCTTCCCGAAGCCGGGCGCGGTAGACAAGCAGAGCGCTTCCCGTCCTGTTCTTCCCAAAGCCGGGCGCGGTAGACAAGCAGAGCGCTCCCTGTCCCGTTCTTCCCGAAGCCGGGCGCAGGAGGCGAGCAGCACACTCGACGTGCCATTTTCCCGGTGCCACGGACAGGACGTGGAGCGGCGGCCGGCTGTGCGCCTGCTCGGGCGGGCGGACGTGGCGGCGGCGGGTTGGCGGGCGGAGGGGCGGCCCCGCCCGGCCGGCTCGCCTCACGGGCGGGCGGTGGGAGACGTGTGCGAGCGGGAGCGGCTCGGGGCCCGCGGCCCTGCCCCCCTCGGCCGGGCCATGTCGGTGTGCGGCGGCCCCGGCGACGCGGCGGCYCCGCGGTTGCGGCCCCGCGCCGCTCTGATGGCGCGGCGGCCCGAGCTGCTGTGCGGCGCGGCCATCGTGCTGGGCTGCGCCTTCCTCGTCGCCCTCAAAGTCACCTGCAGGTACCGGCGGGGCAGCGGGCAGACCCGGGGCTCGGCCGGGGGGGAGCGGCCCCTGGCCCGCCGCTGTGTCCGGGGGTGGTGCTGCGCTGGGGCCTGGGGCAGAGCCGCCGGCGGGGCCCTGTGGGTCGGGGTCGCCCTGTGGTGCTGTGTGGCTGCAGCGGCCGGGCCGCGTCGGGCATGGACATCCCCGGGGTGGGGGACTGATCCTTTTCTCGGGCCCCACCACATGCAGTCCCTATGACAACCGCGACAGGTCGTGTGTCGGGGGACGCTGTGCCCCCTCAGCGGGGTCCCGGAGCGGGCAGGGGCGATAAGAACCTGGGTGGGGAGGGAGCGGAGTGTTTTAAGAGACATCTGCCCCACCGGGACTGTGCTGTGGCGGCAGGTTCGCGGGGCACACGCTCCTGAGGGCAATATTAGGATATGCAGGGAGATGTCAGGGCAGGGACCGGGCTCTGCTTGGTGGGGCCCAGCAGTGGGACGGGGGGCAATGGGCAGAAACTGATGCCCAAGAAGTTCCACCTGAACATGAGGAAGAACTTCTTCCCTGTTAAGTGACCGAGCCCTGAACAGATTGTCCAGAGAGGCTGTGGTGTCTGCCTCACGGGAGATATTCCAGAACCGTCTGGACACAATCCTGTGCCATGTGCTCTAGGATGACCCTGCCTGAGCAGGGAAGTGGGACCACATGACCTACTGCGGTCCCTTCTAACCTGACCCATTCCGTGGTCCTGTGACAGGCACGTTGTTGAGATAGAGGTGCTTTTGCTCATCTCCAGAGGTAGCTGGAACCTCGCACTGCCACAGAAGGGCTGGGGGGGCTCGGGCTGCAGCCCTGCCCTCAGCACTCTCGGTGTCGGTGAGGGCCAAACGAGTCTCTCCGGGCTCTTGTGTTGATGTCACCCCCCTTTGCCTGCACCTGCTTCGGACAGAAAAATGTTTCGTGGTTTCCCTGCCACTCTGGTGGTGCTCCTCTTGGAGCTGGAGCCTCCYTCTTTGCAGAGGGCTCTCCAGTTCCTGTTTGGTGTACGTGGAACCAGGAGATGTTTGTACTGGCGGGGCAGGGAGCGGCGGCGATGGACGCTGGGCACAGGCTGCTCGGTTCTGGAGCCTAAACCGGGGTCTGAATCTTCTGGATGGGTTTTAGGTCAAGGTAAMGGTTACGTGCTCCAGGTCATACTATATTAAGAACATCTACTGCACTTGGGGTTTAATTTTGAGATAAGGAGAAGGCTACAAGGATCTGATTATGTTTACCTTCAGAAGATAATGTTTCTGAAAAATGCTTCTTTGGTTACCTGTAATACAAAGGTGTATTATCTGAATCATAGTGAATTCTATGTCTATGAATGAGTGCCTCTGAGTAGCTGTGCCTCCATTCCAGGATTCTGTATTTCACAGGGACAGATAATGTAGATGAAATTGTAAAGCTTTTGCCATATTTCAGAATGTATGGTGAAGGATTTCTGAACATTGTCAACTCCCTGGAGTACTGTCCAGTACTAAACGAATAATACTTTTGTTTATACTTACAATGATGCCTCCTGCTGTCCTCTATTTAAAACCTGCATATTCCTTTCATTTTACTGCTAGCTGTGTTTGAAAGCTCACAGATGGAATGTGACTGGAATGTGGTTCTCACCACCCAGTACTCTGGAAGTTTGATTAAAGCGGTTGGGCTTTTCAGATTGTAGTTGAATAGACAAACTAATATTAGAARGATATTCCCTGTTTGGTTGCTGTCAGAAATCTAGAAGATTCAGGTGTAAAAATTCCTTGTGCAGTTTGGAGGCTGTTTAATAGCACATGTTAACTAGAAATACAGGACATAGTTTCTCACTGCATGTCAGTATGATTTACTAGCAAGACACAGCACTAGATCATAGGTACTACCACTGCTCTTACAATATATAACTTTGGAGATCAATGGATAAGAAGTATGGAAAGGGAAAATTCCTTTGCTACAAGGCAATCCATTAGTGGGATTTGAAGTGTGGCAGGACTCAAGAAATAGTCAAATGAGACCTGACCTAACATTCTGTGGTCTAGACCCTGAATGGCGGGCAAATGCCCTTCTGGCACTATGCAAATGTCTTAGGGACTACCCCACTTTAAGGACTGTGCAGTCAAAGGGACTGATCCTGCAGGCACTTGCATGTGCTTCCCTTTATTAGCAGTGTTATCATGGAAAGTTTAAGTTTTCATAGGCTCTGGGCAGCAGGTAAATAACACAATCGGTTTTTAATAAAGAGTTTGTTATTATTATGTTTGTGCAATTGTTTCTTATGTAATCCTCAGTTTATATTTATTTAAATTCGAGGGGTTTTCTTAGGAAACCTGGGAATCGGTCAAGGTATTCTGTGTTTGGTATTGCAGAGGAAGACACTACTTAAACCTCCTTAAGCAGCTCTTAGTGATTGATTCATTATGTTTTGGTTTTTAATAATTACTGGAGTTTTTTTCATATTTGAAGCTAGTTGTGTAGATTCTGACTCACTCATGTCATGAGACTTCTGCTGTTGTGTTCTACCCATTCTTGCAATTTGGAGCCAATTCATTATCTCATTTTTAAGGTTTACGTTGTAATTCTTGAACCAATCATCCTCTTTCAGTTTGATTCAGTAAAGGAAGCAGAGTTTTAAACATTGAGGTTGTCTATTTCCATTAAACTAGATAAAGAGGAGAAATTCTAGCTGATGTCTCTGAAGAAGTAGGTGTGAGCCTAGCAGTTGCTGCTGTGCTTTCAGCATCTGATCAGCTCTGTGTGTGTGCCAGAGCTCACAGTRGAGTTGTGTCCTGTCCAGCTGGCAGGCAGGAATCATGGAAAGAAGCTGGCAGTTTGGATAAGCATCGGGTGCAGGAATGGCAGGGAATCAGAGTTGTTGGTTGTGAGGTGACTGAAGCACTTATGGGTTGGGAAGGAGGTTCTGGGTTGGTGTTTTGGGGAGAAGGGAAGGAACAAAGGTAGAAGTCCATAGAAGAAAGTAGACTTTTGATTGTGTAAAAACATCATGTTGTGAGTGGGGAAATTAATGAATTACAAAGATGAGGAACCATTTRATATTTTCAAAATCCTGGTTATTGAAGCAATTTTCTCTTACATGCAAATTAGGAATTTCCAAAACTTGTAGAAAATATACTGGGGGCAATTCTAGTATGTTAAGCTTTAAGTGAGTTGTCTGGAAATGAGAGAACTACAATATAGGTTTTTGCTATAAAGATATAGGTACTTCTTAAAAACCAGAAAGTTTGTAAAGATTAAAAGTGTGGCAGAGTTGTTAGAAGATTGCTTAATATATGAGTTTTGACAGTGTTCAGKGCTCAATAATTCTATCCCAATTACTAAAATTTTAGCCTGAGAAGGATCAAATATCAGGTAATATGACTTTTATATTAGCTTTTAATTGCAATGCAAAGTAAAGAAATACATAGTCTTTCCTCAGACTTCTAGTCCCATTATGAGCCATGGCAAAATTGAACGTGACAGGAGTGTGGTCCAGTTTTCAGTTTGACTTACTCTAGTGTAAATACAGCWAGTGGAAAATTTTTAAATGATGAGAATATAAAAAGTGAGCATGATTCCTCACTTGCATTTAGGGCAGCTCATACCATAGCAACTTGTAAACACCTTGGAAGTGCCAAATTCTRGATTGTTTGATTGCTGATTGGATAGAAATGGTTTCTTGAGTATTTGGTTTRTATTGTTCATATTGCTTACTGGCCWGTCTSATTTCTTTTAAGCARCTTGATCTGTCATAATCTCCTTAAATTTAGACTCTCTCTTAATACCGTCCGTATACTGAGGTGCCCTGAACAATGATTTGCAGTCCCTACTCTGATCAGTAAAATAAACAAGCTGATCAGTAAAATAAGCAATAAATATAACATTTACATGTTTATTCCTAATACAATATAAAAGAATAAAAGTATAGAATACTTTAAAACAAAGCATAAGGCAGGGTAATAGTCTATGTTTATATAAACATCACATCACAAAACTTTATGACCAGAATCTCTTTTCTTATCAGGGTGCTGTTACCTAAAGTACAGGTGTTTAGAGAGGATGAGGCCAGGGAAGAAATCCAAAGAAATCACTCTTCCTGGTAATTTTATGCAGCAACCAACCATAAGAGTGTGAGCTAACGTACCATAAATACAGTGCATGGTATCAAGTGTGGCTTTCTAAAGCTTATGAAGAGTGATCTTTAAATGTTTATAGTATTTAATGAAACTAACTCAGAGAGCATGAATTGTAGTTGTTTTGCATAAAATTCTAAAATACTGTCATTGCATGACTTCTGCTGATAATAAAAATTAGGTCTTTGTGCATACTTTTTAACTAGTTCTGTTCAGTCTTAATAACGACGCTTCATTTTCTTCCTGCAGCCGAGCAAAAGATGTAACAATGCCAGCAAAGGTTCCAGTGAATTTTTTCTCCACAAAATCTCCAGTCATTGATCTTTTTCGGGGGCAGTTAGACTATGCAGAGCAGCTCCGTCAGGATTCAGAAATTGTGCTGTATTTCTTCTACGCACCATGGTGTGGCCAGTCCATTGCTGCAAGAGAAGAAATAGAACACGTGGCCAGCAGATTGTCAGACCAGGTAACTTCAGAGAAGATGCCAATCTTAAACATGACTTGATAGCTTTTCAGTGTCCAAGCTGATGCTAATTTCTGCCTACTCATGGGAAACAGTAGGATTTGAATTCTCACATTTTAGGGTAACTCATTGGTCACCTTAATTTTAATTTGGCATACAGAGTGTTAAAATAAATGGAGACAGCCTGTGATTCCTGCTTAGTTGTCTGTTATTTCTGCTTCTGAATGCAGAAGTCTATGAATTTCTTGTTGTAAAGTGTTTTCAGAGTGTTTCAGATTTATTCTGAATTTCAGAGTGTTTCAGATTTATTCAGATTCCTGCTTTCAGGCAGGAATTCCCTTGAGTTTGCTTCCAGTTCTGGAATCCTTGGAGACACTGGTAATCATGCAGAGATTGTAGCCATAGCACTGCTTTCAAGCCATTGGGTACCTGTGAACACTTAATAGGTACAGCTGTCCTAAACCTCCACTTGTTGAGCTTCACTCTGGGGAAAAAGTAATTAATGTGGGTTATGACTAAATTAATAAATTGTAAGAATTTAGATTAAGAAGCATAAAAGCTAGAAAGAATAGTGACCAGAAGGATTGCTGTTGCAACATGACACATAATTTAAAAAAAAAAAGGTCTGTCCCTGACAGATATGGAATACTGAGTTGAAAAGGCCCTGAAAATATCAGTTGAAATGGATTGGAAAAAGTACATCAAGTACATCTTGCATAGAGTAGGTCACAGTAGTGTACTTTGTTATCAGTGAATTTTTACCTGCTTTGCAGGTGCTGTTTGTGGCTGTAAATTGCTGGTGGAACCAGGGGAAATGCAGGAAGCAGAAGCATTTCTTTTATTTTCCTGTGATTCACTTGTACCATCGGAGGTAAGACTTCATATGTACAGTCTAGGTTTTTTATTGTTGTTTTGGGAAACAGAGATATCATGTGTTGCATTTTGAAAATGTTACATTTCTGGGTTCAGAAAACAGTTGTTGATGAGATTCTAGATGAACTCATCCTGTGTGCTACTCAGGTGCCAGGTAGGACAGTAAATGTCAGTTAAATGACAAGCTGGACAATTCTTCATTCTTAYGGAAATTTCAGTTTGCCTGTGCATCTCTTGGAAGCCTCCAATGAAAATAATTCAGAGTTACATATTAATTTCAGATGTCTGCTTGCTCTGTAGATGGATTATAACAACTAGGCCTAATTTGTGCAGGATTAAAGAATGTAGCTATGGGTTGTTGTAGTTAGTAGAATCTAAATRCACATGTGAATTGCACTACATGCTGAAGACCTTGTTCTAATCTTGACCTTTGCACTCACTTTCTTATGCTCCAGATGCTGAGATACCATTGTATAAAATGTTATATAACCTCACTTTAAATTTTTTGTATTTATATGTATTGTCCTTTTTTTTTTCTCTTTGTGTGGAGCAGAAGGTAAGGAAAYACAGTTTCTAATGCTACATCCAGGAGTTTATCCCTTTTATTTTACTAGTCTTGAACTRCAGCTCTCTTTTATTACAGAGGCTGATTTTGTTTTTTGGGGGGAATTTATGCATTGAGGAAGAACGGTCCTGGTCTTTTTTAGCTAAGTTGTAATAGACACAAGAGACACAGGCGTAATTCAAACTGTAGTGAAAAAAYGCTACAATCCCACTTGGACGTACAGTGATTTTAAATTTACTTGGTCTCGAAATTACAGCACAGTAGATGGATACTTGTGGTATCATCAGTAACATTAAACAGAGTTGTAACAAGACAAGGTGCAAATCTCTATGGATACTTCAGTAAAAACCCTGAAGGGCAATGCACCCATCATTCCTGAGGTATTAAACTCATGTAGTACCTGAGATATTAAACTCATGTTGAGCAGTGAGTATTGCTGTGAAGAAAAAGGTTTATAATAAACCAATGGAGGATGTGGAATGATCTTCTCTAGAAGACCATTTTGAAGCACCTCAATATGGGTATCTCAGTGCTAGTTGGGTATTTTTCAGTGTTTCTCTATGTACAAGCGATATTAAAAATGCATCACATTAAATTCTTCAGTGGAAATGGACTAATTCTTTATTCTTTTTGTATTTGATTTCATTTGAAACAATGATGCTTTGTCCATCTCAATGATAATTAGGAGAAGAACCTCTGGAAATCGTAGGTGCAAGACGCAGCCCACCTGCTGTTTTAGTGCTGTCTAATGTGGTGTGAGCTGTTTTATCAGATGGCTGGTGGGAAACCAGTTTTTACTGAGTCTGTTCATGAGCAGTGAAACTGAGTTTGTCCCTGCTTTACTGACTGCTGTTTGTAAAAGCCTGTGTAACAATATTTCACTTTTCAGATTGATACTGTTTGAGATAGTGAAAAAGCAAGTGAAAATTACTTTTTCAGATGTGTGTTTTTAAGTCACATGTGTTTACTTCAGACAAAGTGGAAAGATATGTATATGATCATGTAATTTATACTTGAGTTTGACTAAGTTCTTTAATGGTATTCAGAAGTGGTCTCCATCCCTCCATGCTCACCAACACTCAGCCCCTTCCACAGATATTTCGGTCAGTCTCTCTGGTAACACAACTCCCTACTCAGTTACAGAAGCCACTGGTAAAACATGGAGAGCAATCCCCTAGAGGCTGAGCATGCTGTCTATGTAGCTCCTATCTGCCACCCCCAGGAGGGACTCTCTATTGTTAATTTAAGTCTTAATGTTTTATTATTTTTTTTGGTACTAGTTTTGGACCAATTGAATACAAAGGCCCTATGAGTGCTGTTTATATTGAAAAGTTTGTTCGCCGGGTGATGACACCACTACTCTACATCTCGTCTCGATCAAAATTACTAGATTTCCTCTCAAATTATGAGGTACTTGTCTCTCTTCTCTAGCTTTACCACTGTGATTCAGAAAGAGTTTGATTTATGTAAGGATTAAATTTGATCTGCTCCAAAGTAATAGTTTATTTTCAGGATCCTGAAATCAGTGCTCTGTAAATGAATAAAAATCATAAAAATACAACATGACAAATTCATAATGTTGATCCCTGTGTAGTTACTATTACAGTTTAGTAACGCTCTTAATGTACATTACTTTAGTTTGTAGAGACAACAATCAGAGTTGTTACCTCACCAAACTGTRACATACAAACAAGAAAGAAGGGAGAAATCTTTTCACAAAAATCTTGCGGTCTAAGTTGGGACAGCAGTTGATAAATACATACACAATCATTACTTTAATTTTTAAAGGAGTATTAAGCTTTTCTAGTAGAATAAGTCTATTAATTGAAAACAAATACGAAACCAGCTGAAGTAAAGACTCCTAATCTCTGTATATGTGGTGACTTGATGATTTTAATCCACTGGTACATGGTGTTTTATTCATTTTGGWCTGTTGTGTTCAGGTGTGTCAAGACTGGTAGCAATAGTGGATTAGTATCTTTCAGTTAGACAAAATGTTCTTACAACACAGCCATTTAAAATCGTTCTATAACTGCTCATTCTTGTAGTGCACAGTGGAGAATTCAGAGCAGTGTGGAAAACCTGATGAACAAATCAGTGCTGTGGTGGTGGACACAGCATGGGAGGGGCCCTCCAGTGTGCTGGGCTGAAGCAGATGCTGTGTGAGCTGGTGCATGTTGCAGTGCCTGCTTCTGCTGCACGATGGAGCACTGGACATGCACTGGTAGTTCCCATGGGTAGGTGCTGTGCTTCTCAGGAGCTACTGCTGAGTTTGGTTTTCCAGTGTTTTAAGCAGGGACTGTGAGTCAGGAGTAGTGAGTTGTGGCCTGGCTCTGGTACTGATACTTTCTGTGATCACAAGCAATTCCATTGTCCTTCCATTGCTTCAGGTTTGCTGTTCTAAAACTGAAACTTTTTTTGGCCTCTTACAGGGATTTGAAAAAAAAACATGCTTAGTTTTCAGTTTGTGTTATGTTGTTTGTTGGTAGACTGCAGAAGGTAACAAATGAGCATTTGTCGTTAAGTTTGCYTAAGTTTGCTTTACAGTAAGAGGTGCATGTCCATTGGAAAAAGACTGAGATAWAAGACAAATTCAGGGAGGGACAAAAATATTTTTAAAATACTGCTTAGCAGCTGAACAGATATTTTTGTTCCTATATTCAAACTTCCCCCCTTCTTGTGCTTGAAATTCTGTGGCTCCAAGTGCTGAGTCTCTTGSTGTCTCAACAAATTCAGCATTTGTTGGTTCTTTTTTTTTCTGAAATGGCCCAAGAATAGAGGCTGCTGTGCTGTGTTGCCCCACAGTCATTCATCCCTGAGGTTCTGTCCCAGAGCATGGCTCCAGGTRCTCAGTATCTTGCCTCTGTAAAGTTAGACTAGAGGGGAAGGAGGAGATACAAAAGTAACTGATACTTAGATAAGATGAAAGAAACGGAATTTTTATGAAGGTGGATGCAGAGAAAAATATAGGCGCAAAGAAATAAACTAGAAATAAACAGATTGTTTCATCACTTCAAATAGAAACATGAACATTGTGGAATGTTTTCTGTGTGAGTTGAGAAATTCGTACCTTTTGTAGGAGAAGATACAATCTARGAGTTAGTCCTGCATATAAGAAGTGGGTAAGTTCGAGGAATAGAGTAAATTATAGGAAATTGGGACACATGGCACAAACTAATTACTATTTTCAGACCCCTGGCTAGTGTCTTCCTTTAGTTTTTTATCTTCTCTGTATAAAAAATACTAATTTTTAGCAGAAGAGAAAGGACAGAGGACTTTCAAGGATTGCTACTGGGCACTATGGCCACTGCCTGCTGCTGGTTCATAGTTTCGTTATTTCATTGAAAAGCTAATTTAATTTCAAGCTCAAAATGATTCGTGAAAGATTTGTCATCAGTATCTAATTTTCAGTCCTGTGGTCTGATAGCAAATGGGTAATGCAAACTGGAAGAAATACAGATGACCAGAATCCAGTTAAATGGATATGGTATAAGAACAAGTGGTGGTTATTACCTGGTCTTTTGTTCTTTCCTCGACCTAATCACGACTATCGTGACATGCTGTGTTGTTCTCACAAGAGGGCGCTCAAACCCCATTAAAAAAATCTGGGTCGCGACTCTAAAGTTGAGATCCTGCGTTCTCTGATGCTATTYAAGGTTGGTTTCTCTGTGGTTGTGGAATTATACCAGTGCAAAAGTAGAAGCAAATAAGAATTCTTTTTTGAGAGCAAGAAAAATATGCTGTTTGGAAAGCAGTTAAAATCTTGKAATGTTAAGGAAGATCTAAGTTAAATGATTAAATGTTACCATAGCTAAAGGTACCTGTGAGTACCTGTAATCAGATTTCTTTTGTYTTCTTAACTGCAGAGATGTAAAAGTTTCATTTTAATCCAGACTAGCACCTCTTGTTCCTCATCTGACAGGAATTGCCTGCCTGCACACGTCTGAGAGCCTGGAAAAAATCACCCCCTTACTTCARTGTAATATAGCCAAAACATATTTTGAAAATTACAAATTGGGATAGAAATAACTTGAGTATTACAAGCATTTATTTAATTGTAAAAGCTAATCAGTAGCTGTGGGATTTCCCCTATCTTCTGTTCCCGTTATTTCACTTTTTTTGGCCTTTAAATTTCAGAGCTCTTTTATCACAGTCATTTAATGTCCTTCTGCAACTCTTCAAGTCAGCTGTAGTTTCAATAATTCCCACCAGCCTTTACAAATTTTGTTACTCACCCTTCTCACCCTTTTGTAAAGTGCTTAAAGAAATACTGAATTGCTTGAGTATCAGTACACATCCTGGCTGACTGTCTTTGGCTGCTGAAAAATGTTGAATTCTAACTGTAGTTTTTTATCTCCTATGCTAATCTGGAAAAGGGCCTACCATGTTATTCCTTACCACCTTAGGTTCTTCCAGAGTGGTTGGTAACTTCTTGTAGACTTCAGGGAATTCAGGCATGCTACACGTGTAGTATGGCATGCTCTCCTTGGCCTGATTGTATTCCAAACTAAGAACCTCTTTACATAGAGATACCTTTTCTGTGAGACTTGAATCTCACTTGTATAACAGATAAAGAATTGTTAGTTGCAATACCTGGAAATGTTGGAAAAACATTTGGGAAACATTCTTCACAATCTGGAATTCTTAAGCTGCTGCTAGTGTATAACAGAACTGGCAGACAGAATCAGAATGTTACCTTTTAAATAACGAATATTTCCACATCTGACTACTGGCTTCTTGTCACATTTTACWGTCAGTTTTGATTCTCCTTTCATTCATTATTGGGTGCCCTAAATTCACTTGGTACAGGATTAGTATTCAGAAATGGTCCTAGGAAGTGGGAAGCTAGAAGTTTGATAATCTTACCAGTCCCCTTATTTTGGTTCAGTTGAATGCTTTGAAAGTTTTTTAGAAGGGATCGTTTGTTTTTACTGTCTTAGTATAGAACTAAGAGAAAAATATGAACATTAATTACTAACCGGTATGTTGTTTAAAAAAGAACAGTGAGTGCTATTATTTTGCTGTGTTCTTTCACTACTATTTTATTTATACTTTAATTTTGTTCTTGGTAATTATTGTTGCAAAAATTTCACTAGTTGCTTGTAACTCATTTTTATTATTGAGAATTTTCTTGGGGTACCTCATGAGGCATCTTTATTAATAAGGGTCTTGTGCTTAGCATTCATTCATGAAAGAGAATTCCTGCCTAAAAAAAGAAGTCATGAGCTGGAATGGGCAATGCTGTTATTGGTGAACATCTTYAGATTGCTAATTAGTACTGAATTAGGTCAGTGTATAAGGCTGATATGAAGAACTGAATTCATATTAATAATAACAACAGGTAAAATGCRTGTTCCTATTTGAAAAAGAAATAAATATTTTATATGTAGAACTCAAATAAAGCAATCTCTGAAATAGCAAATGAAAATACTTCTTTGAGAATATATTTGCCACACAATGGGTGCTCGGTGAGTTTGGAATCTTCTGTTCCACAGCAGTCCCTGGAGTGCTCTTGCTTTCTGTATCAAATGCTTTCTGTATGCACTGGTGGAACTGAGAAACAAGTAACACCAAAAAACCAAATTCCATCACTTACTCTGTCCTGCAAGTTTATTRAGGCCATTTGAGTGATGCCTTAAAAGCATAATTAATAATGATTTTTAGTGGGTTATATTTTTAAAAATTTAAAACCAAAGTTTAACTGAAATRTTGGAGCAAGTGAAGTCTGGACTATGTACCTTTCTGTTCCAAATCAGCTTCTCCCACATTCTCTTCCTGAATTTCAAAGGGAGTTGTTCACTTGGAAAAATCRGTAGATATATTCTGGGGTGAATCTTTTAAATTTTGAATTGTCTGTATGGCAATTTGAAGAGCTTTATAGATATGAAGGTGGAATATGGAGTTCTCAAGATTTTTTGCAGTTGGTCTCTCACTGACTCTTGGGGGATATACTGAAAGGATTTACAGTGACTGTAGCTTRAAGATGGGATGATCACTTGTCTTAGTTGTTCAGGTATTCATACACAAAATGTGTCAGCATGTGAATTGAKATGTAATTACTAATTATGTGCAACATAAAACCATTAAAGGTTTACTGCTTAAGCTCTTCATACTCTGAAAAATTSTATTTGATATTCCAGTTCTGAAAGAAATCTTTATGATGCTTATGGTTCATATCTTGGTGCTAGAACTGATTGAAAACATAGTTGCCAAGCAGAAACTGTTTCTGGTGAACTGAACTTTAACGTGGGAAACCCACCATTAGTAGCATCCATAAAGCCCCTCTCTCTAAGCTTTTGAATGGCAGCTTCATTCTTTGAATGAGAACTGATTTTGATTCAGTCTTTTAATATTAAAATTTTTATTGCAGCATAAAGTGACTGCTCTTCAGTAAACGTTGTCTTTTAAGAGTCTGTTGCATTTTACTGTGGTCCCATATATTTRTACTTGAAAATAGCTTAAGTAATTCTAATTCTTATTATTTCAGCCTGGAGTTGTGGGATTTTTTGAGTTCAATGCTTCACCTCAGCCACCTGGTTATTTAACATTCTTCACATCAGCATTACATTCATTAAAGAAAGGTAAAAGCTTCCTTTTCATAACTTAATGTGTCTGTGAATGAGTTATGTAAAAGGGCTTCAGTAGTTTTTTTGTAATATTTTATAACCAAGGAATTAATCCCTTCTCAATGTTTCTTCATGGTTATCTGAGACTGTCTCATTACAGTGTGAGGATTGCTTACATRAAAAGCTTCCTGTGTGCTCAGCCCTCATGGAATAAAGGATATGGCAGGCTGCTATTGAAGGATGCACCAGGGCAGAGTTCCCCCACATGTGTAGCTGCAGCCCACACAGGATCATGACCAGACCAGCACTCKGTTTCAGTTGAATTTGGTCTTTGTCCTGTGCAACACATGCAGTGTCAGAGGAGTGGGGTGAACTTGACTGTGTCAGCGCTTGGTAACCGAATTATGTAAAGTACTGTCCTGGCTGGAGTTACAGAGCTGCTACAAGGCAGCTGAGAAGGGCTTTCTCCCCATCCTGTTTTGCACTGATMATCTAAAATWCAAAAYSKCTTGTCTGTGTTTACACAGGCAAACTTTGTGATGATTAATAYCTSCTTTTKGGTCCTGAATTTTGGATAGAACTTYCTTAAAGTTAAGATTAATACATTTTGTGAATATTCCTTCCTGTCAGCAAATGAAGGAGATTGATACTGCTGTTATTTTTCACTGTGCCACTGATGTGATAAAGAGCCTGTTCTATATTTTGTTCTGTGATTTTCACATTTATATGTTGAATTAGTTCTCTGCAACATAAAGATAAGCAGTCTGTCTTTATGTGTACAAACTGAGAAATGTGGGATAAATATTTCTACATAATACATATTTACTGTAAATGTACATCACTTAAACAGTGTTCATTCCTTTCCCTTACATGTATCATCTTAGTTTTTGAGATGCCATAAACCATAGCAAAATACATCTGTGATACCAGATATTGTATTTAATAAGCAAATCAAGAATTTGGACAATTGAGGTTAACGTATTCTATATCTGGAGTGCWGAAGAGGAGCACATTTGTCCTTCTTGCCCTCTTTGTTTTGTGTCAGTAACCTGTATTGGTGGTCTCTGTTCACAGATTTCTGTGCCTTTACAAAGCACTGTTGTGTGTTCTGGTTTGAGGGTTTGAGGGTGGTGTTCCAGGACTTTCAGGAGAGTTCAGTGTGGGTAATTACATYTAAAGATTSAAAATCTGTCCTTTCAGATTACCTTGGGWCAGTACGCTTTGGAGTCATCACAGATAAACGTGTGGCAGAGGAGATTTCCCTGGTACATCCTGGCAGTGTGTATCTGCACAGACACGCCAACACATCTCTCGTGAGTATTGCTCTGTGCTCTAGGGACTCACATGCTACAGAAATACTCGGGGGATCAGAATTAGAAGACTTGAATTTGAATGAGGATATGGACAAAGATTTTGTGGAGGGATAGTAGGTATAGTGAAAACTTGCATTGTGGTTTTAAAGTGTAACATGACGCTGATTAGAAAAATCAKGCAAATTAAGTCAGTTGAATTTATAATAACTTTTACCCTACATGCCCTGTTTTTGAAAAACTAAGGCTGAAAATAATAACTTTCRGATTTGTTATTTGGCATAGAGACACTACCTACCCACACTGGTATCGTGAATGGAAACTTTGTGAAGAGAGGTATTGTGATGTGTATTTTATTCAACTCAGACTAGGGAAAACAGACATTTTAGGTCCAATAACATAAAATTACTTTTGTCTATGCCAATTATTTAAGATAAACTTGCCTTAATGTATTAAAATTGATCCTAGACGCTGTGAGCCTTTTTATTATACAATAATAATAAATATTCTGTAAATCAAACTAGCTTAGAACTCTTTCAAAGAAAATTTGTACTATTGAGAAAAGTCCAGATTATAAAGATGTAGTAATATAGTAAAAATAAAGAGGAGTTTCCCTGGAAGGATCCTTTGTGCTTGTGGAATTTTCTATAATCTGATGAGCATTTGAAAAACTTTTCCAAAAGGAAAGGGTGTACAAAATGCTGAAGTTTGCTGAAGTAATGTCATTAATTTAGAAAGAGAGTTCTAGCCATTACAGTAACAAAGTAATGCCATAATGAAGAATTGCATTTGTAAATAAATCAAGCAAGGACAAAGAAATACTTTTCCCCCTTCAAGATCTATCCAAAAGACATCATGAACTTCACTGCTGAGAATATTTGCAAGTGGGCCCTGGAAAATCGGGAGATGCTCATACGCTGGCTGAGACCACACGGTGGGAAAAGCCTTCTTCTAAACAATGAGCTGAAGAAAGGACCAGCACTTCTCATATTTCTACCTTACAATCCTCTAGCAGAAATTCATCCTCTTTTAGATGAAGTAAGTGAAATACTATTTTTTTACTTCAAAAATACTAAAACTTGAGAGCTGTAGTCAGGGATCTGGGCTTAATTATGACAGATGCCTCATTTTATTTCACTGTTCCAAGTATCTAATTTTGTTTAAAACCACTTTCTCAAGCCATATTATCCCTTACACTGGTTTGCATCCCCCACAAAGGTGCCTTTGTCTCATTCAACAGCTGTTTAGAACCAGGATCTAACTCTTCCTTGACTTCTTCCTTTTTGTCGTGAGTTCTGTGTAAGAAATGCAGATCTTTGCCARCTGGAGCTGAAGTCTTGTGTGTTTTGTCCACCCCATTGTGTTTCTCCTCTCCTGTCCTTCTAGAGGTGCATGTGCTTCCTTAGTGACCTTCCAATTTTCTCTTCCTCTGCTGTTATTTCCATTCTGAGCTGCCTAGGACAGGAGTTTGTGGAACTGTGCAGAAATGAGATAGGGAAACTAACTTGGCTGAAAACTAGTTTTTTGTCCCTGGGCTATTTTTCAGCTGGAATACATCATCCAGTTTGGTATAAGACAAAGCTGCACATCCCAGTGGTGATCATGTAGCTCTAAGCCCAGTGTGGTACAACAGACAAGCGTTTGTGGAAGACCAAAAGCAGGCCTAGTTTTGATGGTAGGGCTGACTTACTTACACAGCATCTGTGCCCTGGAATGTGCAGTTTCCACAGGGAGGCTCAATTAATATTGCAGTGTCTGAAACAAAAGGAAAAAAGGGAAGTACCTTATGATACAATATTTAGCCAAACTAAATAGGCACRATAAAAGCTATGCAAGATTGCTACAAAATAGGGTTGAGGAAATCTATGCCTGAAAAAGAGCTGCCATTTCTCTTGTAGTAACCTGTCTTCTGTTTGGCAGGCAAAATTCAATGGTACTTGTTACAGAGCAAATGTTCTAGTAATAGGTACCACTTACTTAGATAAAATCAGTGCAGCATAAAGATGGATGTTCTGTTTCAAATTTCACTCTAYTAAATAACAGTGTTCATCTACATCAAAATTTGAAATGAGATACAAAATATTCCATTTGTCCTTGTATAGCTTCGCTTTGAGATATTACGCAACTTGTTTACCCTGGGAAAAGCTGTTTACTGCAACCAGCCTGTGGGTTTCATCAAGAAATTAAACCACTTGACTGTAAGGCAGTTGCAGAGAACAAGGCTCTCAAGTTGTATGTTGAAATATCTCAGASCGAATTTCTCTTCCTGATCACAGCTCACTGAAATGAGATTTCTTACTGCAAATCTGTTGGCTTTTTTCATCATCTCTTCTCATGTTTCTCTAGGTAGTAAAAATCTCCAGGATAGGTTATAGTGTCAGGGGACAGGTTTTTTTCAAGTGTTCAGTTAAGCATTTTTCAGGATGAAAACTCATTAACARCTAATTCTAAAAGACTGTAACAAAGTGCTGCTGTAGACCACATGATAATACTGATGATCCTGTGACACAACAACCCTCCTGGATGTGATATTTCTGCATYCCTTTTATAATTATAGCAGTTTCTGTCAAAGTGTTCTTCTGTAAGCAGTGTGTGTAATTTAATTTCTCCTCCTCTTGAAAAATAACAGAGATTCGGGAGCCTCTACTCGTTAATATTTTGTGTAGTGGGATTTAACCATAAAATGTAGTGTTATTGTGCTGTAGTAAATACAATGCATGGAGGACTTTGTAGTCAATGTCGTGGACTGAAAAAGATTTGAAAGTGACTCTTGTTTTTATATGCTGAAAATCTGAAAGTTTAACTTTGTTGTCAAGTTAGAGCCCCYGTAATTCATTGTAAAAGATGAGTCAGCTTCATGTTTCTGAAATTCTGTCTCTAAATTGCATATAATTGTTGTTAAACCTGCAACAGATAATTGCAGTTGGGTGAACTATATACAGCTAATCGTGATTTTTTTTTTTCTATCTTTTGTTTTCCCCCATAGATTACCAAAGTGGCCTTGGAATACCACAAGTGTAATAAAAGCCAGGCAGCTGAGCCAGATCTTCAGCACTTAGGAGACTCTGATTCACCAGCTTTTGATTCTTCTGTGACAGATGCACATCTGAAGTTCTCGGAACCATTTTCCATAGCCAAGTACCCGTGCTGTAACACGGTGGTGCTTCCACAGTGGCATTCAATCTCCAGAACTCACAATGTCTGTGAGCTCTGTGTTAACCAGACTCTTGGTGTCAAACCAAATAAAGTCCATGTGCCACACTGTAACTTTTTAGAGATAGAAGCAGCTTTGGACTCTTTCTACCTCCAGGAACATACCTTTTATCAAGTAATATCAAATACCATAGAATGCAGCAATTTCTTAAGTTTCTATAGTCCCTTTAGCTATTACACTGCATGTTGCAGGACAGTAAACAGGCATTTTTTAAGTTTCATTAGTTCTGAGAAGACCATCTTTCAGACCCCCAAAGTAGCATTTTCTTCCCATGGGAAGAAAGATWACACTCAATTTTCTATTCCTCACATTGAGGATAGGAATTGTTTTATTCCTGACCTTAATATTAGTAGCACGAACATTACTGGTCTGAGCTGCAGGACCAACAAAACCTTGAATCTCTACCTGCTGGATTCAAATCTTTTTTGGATATACGCAGAGAGATTAGGAGCATCAAGATCTACTCATCTTAAGGAATTTGCTGCCATTGTTGACCTGAAAGAGGAAGTGCACTATGTCCTGGACCAGAATACRTCACTTGTTGGACCTACCCTGGGTATTGTATCCACTATACAAATGCTTGAATTCAGAAAATTATGTTTCCAAGTGRGAGTGGAAAACTTAATGCCATTTTAACAGGGAGACTACTTTGTGAAGTTAATATTGGGTATTGTAATTTATGCTATTCTATTTAGTAWTTATGCAAGCAGTTATGAATGAGTCTGTTGACTAGAACAGAATAATATTGTAGGTGATGTAAGAAGTAAGTTCCATATACCATAAGTAATTTGGTTTAAAAGAAGTGAACTTTAGAGTGTGTGATTCTTGACTGCCTGGTGTATTGATGGAATGGGTAAAATCTAAATTAATTTGCATGTGGAAAAAAATTCAGTTAATGTAATGTATTTGATATTACAGAAGACATTTGTATRTTAATGGTGGTGTTGGTGTTTGTTCAGCTCTTCTGTGTAATGAAATATCACAGAATTTTGGGAGGTACTGACCACTTATCCACAGAGACTTCCCCATCCTCTTGTCCTCTGGAACCAGCTTAAATTGTGTTAAATTTATTTTGAAAAGTGTGTGTGTTTTCAAGGTAGCAAGGTAGAGCTCTGAAATAGTTGTGGCCAAATCTGCCAATGCTCTTAACCTTCTSTCTGAATTGGAGGAGGAAGAAAAAAAGGAAAAAAACCTGAACCAGATAAGCCAAAGATTTCATTTCTCATCTGTTTGCAGTTCTTGAATAAGACAAAATGTTCCTAACCATGTGCATTTGCCTGTCATGCTGATGTGCAAAACTGAGTCTGCCTTCAGAAAATTTTGTTTTTGTAATGTTAGCTGTGTAAGTAAGCATGGAAGAAAATTTACTTATTAAAATAATTTGCCCAAGAAAATGTATCTATATACTTCTTATAGCACTAATTACATTTCCTTTTTGCCATAAATCTAAGTACAAAAATATGCACAWTGGAACAAATAGCCATGTTCTTATTAAGGATCACATGTAGCCTTRTATCCTGTCTCTATCCCAAACCCTCCAGGAAAAGACTCTGAAAAAACAAACAAAAACCTCAGTGACCGTAACAGGATACTTAGGAAATATTAAGATCAGAATGAAGACATACAAATTTCCTTCCCCTTTCTGCTCCCAGTACTTTCTGTCTCAAACATGTTTTAGGTCACAGGATTTCCTGAGAATGATGAGGGTTTCTGTGCAGAGTAAGATTCAGTGTATTTCTGTTCCATCATTTGAACTTCTAGAAAACTTTTGCTCTGCATACTTGGTCGAGGAGTCTCTGATTTATWCTTGGGTTTTGTGCTTTTTATTTTAATTTTGTTTTACTTCTTTAAGATTTTAACTTCTAATGTTTCATACTATCAAAACAGTTTGGTGCTTAATACCTCTGTCAGATCTCAGTCTTTACAGAYGGTTTATAGAAATTCAGGAATATGTCTTTTAATTAACCCCTTYCTTTCAGTTACTACTTAATCATGCCTAGATATTCCAGATCAGGACATCTAAAAAGAAAAAAAAAACCTGTTTTGGCCTTCTGTCAGAATTTAATGAAATGCTGAACAAAGAGCTAAATGTACTGCTGTTTGCATTTCAGAGATAAACTTGATGATCTGGTATTTTGTATGTCTGTACAAAAGTGCCAGTTTTCCTAAGGCTTAGTTTTTGTGCTGGAAGTACAAGCACAGGGTGTTTCTATTTGATGAAACAATATTTACTGCTTTTCATATTTTACCTTTTGTCTTGATTATTGAATACTCTTATTCTTTAATGCACAGAATACTATTTCACTATTGAAAATAAAAGAAGGATATTGCTGATATCCTGGAGAATTTAGAGAAAGTAGTGCAGACTCAGAGTAGTGTAGCTGAAGATATTTAAAGGCTTTGGAGCTTCTTTCAGATTTTTACCAGTGGCCAGCTACTTGTTAAATATCTTAAAGTTAAGGAGAAAGAACAAAGAAGGTGATTGTAGACAAAAGGGGGCCAGTCATACTGGCATGCAWATAGCAAGTAATTAAAGGTCAAAAGAAAAGAATTGCAGAGAGTAATCAAAAATGGAAGAATAAATGCAAATAAACGTGGGAGCCTTTCAAGACAATGTAGAAGGTAAAAAATGGAGAGAGGATACTATTTATGACTTAGCAGGTGTGTGGTTTGGAGAATGGAGAATTATTATTGTAGCACATTGGCACAAGATTGAACTCTGGTGTGGCGAGTGACAAGACTGTAATGAACAAAATGAAAAAAAAWCTAAAATAGTGAAACTTAATCTTGTTTTCACATCAGTTGTGGTTATTCAAGAGTTGATACCAACTGCCAGAAATTAATGACATGAAACCAGGTTTGAGTTTGCATTTTCTCYGTAAATTCTGAATTCCAAAGAAAAGACTGCCAAAATCACCTCTGAAGTAACTTTGTTTTATACCAATTTCATTTCAGAGAACTTCATTAAAAATTTCAGTGTTCTCTACAGTCCCTTGAAAAGGCATCTGGTTGATGACCCTTCAGTCCATTTTCATGAACAGCATGTGATCACTGAAGTGACTACTAACACCTTTCATGAGATTGTGTTTCTGAGTGCAAAGGTACACCTCATTACTCAAAAGCTTTCTTGTAGATAATGGCACAGATTTGAAGGAGGGGGTCTCAGTCTTTTATATTGATGTGCTATTCTTACTTTTCTTAAAATATAATGTTTTGTAAGAATTCAAAAGCTTTCCAATTGTATGCCATGAAAATAAGATGTCATCCTGAGTACACTTAAATTACCTCGATCTTCAAAAGTATGTGATAGTAAGGATTTATCTGTTGTCATTCAAGTCTGCAGTGAATGTCTGTATCTCAGTTGGTTTCCAGCAGTCCTAGCTCATGCTTTGCTMGTTAGAGGCAGAAAGCAGAAGTCTGGATATGCTTTTTCCCCCTCCATATGAAGTGTACAGTCAGTGTTGGATATATGGGAATTTAAGATTGCAGAAGAATTTTGGGAAGTGTAGTAAAGTTTGGCGCATTTTCACTTAATAGGAATGATCCTAAACTAAATAATCTTTTAATTTTGAGTTCATGGAAAGAGAATTCCTCAAGAATTTTGTGTGTTAACTTAGTAGTCAGAGGGCAGCAGTGAATAACTTATAATGAAGTTTATTAATATGAGGAAAAAATATGCTTTCAAGAGTTCCCTTTCTAGATGTTGCAAAAACTAGTCATCCTTTCTGCAGATTAACTCGAATAGATAACCAAACTCTTCTCCATTTCATTTTCCAGAATGTCTTGCTRCTCTATTATGCACAGTGGTGTGGATTCTGTGCTTCTCTAAATCACATCTTTATTCARCTTGCTCGGCTTTTGCCTCCTGACAGTTTCACTGTGGCAAGGTAAAAAATACTTTAATTTCATATCTCCAGAATAATGTGAGATCATTGAGGTCAAAAGTCTAGAAAATAATTACTTTTTTTCTCTCTACAGYCTTGCAATATAGATGTGAATGTGATCTGCTTCATTTCTCTTTGAATGCATTGTTCTGTTTTCCTTTGTATAGATTTGGTGGTTTTCAATCTCACTGCAGTAGTTATCCACTTTCATTAAAATTATTTTTTGAACTCTGCAATTAACCTTGAAACTTCCTAATATCAGGAAATGAATCCATAACTTTCTRATTGTTTGTAGCAAATAGTAATATGCTATTTGTATATATATCTTTGTTAGCAACACCATTTTCATCACAATTCTAAAACAGCCACCTACAACCTACTGTAAAGACAATTAACTCCATCCCAGCCAAAAGCAGTTTACAGAAATATATTTATGTCTATATGTGCATGTGTATAATGTACATTTTTATATATAGGTTAAAATATTTTTAAATACATACAAGACATATTTTTCTTTGGCATTTCCAGGTTTTTTTAATGTTTCAGTGCAACTTGTGTGCATATGTGATAATAATGCATAAATACTTAGAACACCTGCTCTGCATCTTTATTTGATTCTGACTGAACTTAGTCCAGAAGACAGCAGGAGACGTAGAGAAAAAAGRAATCAATTAAAAACCCGGAGTTTCATCAGCTGTTTATGATTGTGGCTTCATTGCCACAGATGTGATGCTRTTCTCAACACCCATTTTCTTGCCCAGCTTTGAAGTTCTCTCATTTGCTCCATTATTTTCACAGCAGTATTACTGATGTGATTGTCTGTTTTGTTCTGTAATCATTTGTAATTAATAAGAATTTTATTAGTGATCAAAGAAAGCCTAAAATGCAGAAGAAAACCATAATAAACAGTTGAACTGAGTGTTTAATTCAGAAAATCTGGTGAACCTTTCTCCACCAAGCTTTAGATAAAAAATGTGCCTTTAAGAATGTGCTTGTCCTTGGAAGAAGCAAAGTAATTTACTCCCCAAACTGCTCAAGGGGACAGTATTGAGAGAGGAAAAACTTAGGGAACAAATTAATGAATAGAAATAACTTGTCTTATGTTTGGCATGTCTGTCTCAGGAGGAAGGTGTGTACACAACCTGTGCAGTGTGTACACAGTGAGTGACTGGGATTTAATGGCTGGCTGAGAGCAGTTGCAATACTGAACATATTTTTCTAGAGAAAAAATACCACAGATATTTGTTAAACTGACAGTATTGTTAATTAATTCTGCTGACTCAYATGCACCATGTATTTCTGGCATAACACATTTAGACTTACTTTCACAGATACTTAAATTTGCATCTTCCAAATCCCTAAAATGGTGTTCTTCAAGAAGATGCAGATTTTTCATCTGCTGTTCTCTTCATCAGTGTGTCTTTTCCTCACAGAATTGATGTAACTCGAAATGACCTTCCCTGGGAATTTATGACAGACCGTCTCCCAACCATATTATTTTTTCCTCAKCGGAGGTAATATAATTCTTTTCCTTGTGGATTTTTAACTTCCATGTGACTAAGCTGCAGTAATTATCTGGTTACATGTCTTAGAGAAAAAAGCTAAACAGTAATTAATTTCCGTAAATGCATTCTTACTTCATAACCTAATTTTAAAAAACCACCAGCAAAACAACAAAATAACCCAACCAACAGTTACAGATTTCTACCCTTCTCCCTCGAGGACTCCTATCACCAGCAAATGGGAATTCAGATTTTGGTACTGGGCAGTTACCTATCACAAGATCTTTAAACCTGGACCTTAAGTTTTGCCGTTCCTCTTTAAATCCAGTACAAAAACAGCTGCATTTAGATCAGTTCTGAGTCACCCCCACTTCCAAATGATCGTGTCACTATTTCTTTTCATAGGTACTCATTTTATCTTGGTCTCTGTAATGCTTTAGGCTGTCTCTGGAGGAACAGACTGAGTAGTTTTARTAAGATTATTTTTCTAATGTTCCARCTGGTTTCATAAAGGTACCTTACCTCTAGTCATTGCTTTCACTCCTGCTTTTCCTCTCCAGTGTTTTTTAGATTTTGCTGCATGCAGGTCATTAAGAAAATTGGGATCTGACAGTGTTTGTAGCCTCTGTAGCGTTACTAGAGTAGTCATATATTAATTTTGGATATAAAGGCACCTCATATTAAGACTTTTTATGCAGCTTCTCATCTGTTTGCCTTATGAGACAATTTCTGCAAATTAACTCCATTCTCAGTTTCTTTCCACCACATGCTGTTAATATTTTGTTCTGCTATTTGTTTTAAATAGCCTTTTAGCTTCTTTGATACGCRCTGTGGTTTTGATCAATAAAAATGGATGATGATGTAGTAAAATATTACCACAGTATAATGAGTCAATTTTGATTTAGTGTAGACTRTTTTTTGCCTAAATCATGTCATGATTCATTAATCTGGGATGTGAGCTGATTGTCAGCTGAGAAACTGCTGATGGCAATTACAGGAGTAACTTGGTAGATAATCATAAGTCTGCAGGGGAGAAAAACTCTTCTTGCTTACTCTCCCAGAAATAGCTTCATCTTGATGAGCAGGAGCCTCATCTGACTGAAGTTCTTGAGCTAATGAYAAAATATGGTGTCTGTCTTCTACCTGAAGTACAATAGACAGTTTTCAGCAAATGAAATATTTTTATATCCCACATGCTTATGACTTGSATTTCACAGAAGGCATTTTTGAGGGAAGTTTAATTGGTAACTGAGGAACTGCCATTCTAGATGCACGTTRTAAGCAATTCAGAACACAATGTCACACACAAGGGGACACAGGTTGTCTGTGGTGTGTATTGTGCAGAAGCACCAGTAGGCTTTAGGCATTATACTTCAATCAGGCTTTCTTGCTTTGCAGCGATTTTCATTTGGGCTTATTCTGTGTCTTTTTTCTCACCTATGTAATTAACCCAGATCTGACTGTATGCTACATACCATTACCTTAGTCATGAATTTGACAGCTAAGGGGAAGTAAACTGAGCTTTTCTTCTTGGTTTTAGTGGCTGCCTCAGGAAACAGAGTATGCTGCTGACTGGCAAAGCTGGAGCAGATACAAATAAATAATTAGCTGGCTTCTCAGTTACACATAGTGAGGTGGAAGTGGCTGTGCTGCAGGAGGAAGTGAACTTGTGTTATGCTGGTTTATGCTGACTGAAAGGCAGAAGATGGAACTGGTTCAGAAGGAGATCAAGAGTTAGTTCCAGTGTAGTCCTCAGAGGACAGTTTAGCCCGATATGTGTACACAGAGTCCACAAAGGGCAGTAATTGTAACATTTGTCACAGCTGGAGCTGGTGTTTGTGGTGGTTGGTAGGCTTGAGGAAGAAATTTGGTACTTGCTGTTCCTGGCCTCTCTTGCCAGGTTGGAACAGTTTATGCTGCTACAGAAAGCAGGGGGCTTACCTGCTCCATACACTGGGCTTAGTATTCACAGCTTCAGGGGGGAAAAACACCAACAAAAACCAACAGGAAAACCTTGTTTGGTTTGCTTCCTTCASCACCTCTGACATAAAGACGAAGCAGTAGGAGGAACAAGTAAAGAGATGTATTTTTTTGATTGCAAAAGGGCCTTACTTCTGACTGAAGTGACTTACTGTTTAAAAGCAAACTGCTCCCTTGCAATRCCTTTSAGATGGAACACACTCAGCTACTGCTTCCAGGATAACTTACAGTTCAAAATAATCATTTCCCATCAGGTAGCTTTATACCTCTGGAATTGAATTCTAACTATAAATGTAGAGTTAGGAACAATTAAATGTCATCCTTTAAGTTACAAACGTTAATGTCAGTGTGCTCTGATCACACAGTGATGCTGCTATATGTACTTCAAGCTCATTATCCATGATTGGGATACTTCTTTAAGAGTAAAATCAGTTTTCTGAAATTGAGCAGAATTTTTTTCTCAACTATAATCATGTGCAGATACTTACAGCACCCCAGCTAGAATACAGGGAAAAGGGTTCATGAAATCCATGTCCTTCATCTTTATTACATGAGTTTAGGTTTCTCTTAGCTGCTGTACTAACCCTGCTTGTTAAAAAAACCTAAGATATGAAACTGGAGTTGAACAGCAGATGCTAAGATAAAATTGTCATTGCTTAACTTTCCTGAGAATTTTACTATTAACATGTTGTGTCTTTTTAGGAAGGAGCAAAGTGTGAAGTTCCCTGAAGACTTTTCAGTTAACCTTCCTAATCTCCTGAAATTTATTTTACATCATTCAAGTCTTTCTTCATCAGAGCCCTGTACCAAAGAATGCCTACAYAAAGAGTCAGTTCTACAGCAAGGACACATCTCACACTTAGAGAGAGAAATTCAGAAGTTAAGATCAGAAATTAGTGCCCTTCATCAGGCCCATGACCAGCTTGAARCACAGCTTTCTGAAGCCAGGAGAGAGGAGCAGAGACTACAGCAACAAAAACACACACTGGAAAAGCAGCACAAGACTCTGCAGCTCCACAGTGAGCAGTTACAGGCCACATATGATCAGAAAAATCAAGAATTGCTAGAAATGGCTGAAAAGCTTCAAGAATTAGCTGATGCATCAGAAAACCTCCTTAAAGAGAATGCTTTACTGAGAATTCTGGTGGCAGCAAGGGGAGGAAAGCTACAGAGCAAAGATGAAACTAAAGAACCCCTTCAATCTGAGCAAACATTTTCTGAAGATAATGATATATCAYTTTCAACAGCTACTGCCACATTAGAGGAAAAAAGGATTGATAATATTGATATCATAGAGACAGAGCACAGTAGTGGAAATAGGACAGAATAATTGCTTACACAAGTCAGATGATGCAGTATTGGGTAGGTATTTATGCAAATTTTATTGACATTCATTGTAAATAAAGACTTTTTCCCCAACATGATCTAGAAAAAGAAAAATCAAATGGAATATTTTTGTATACTTGAACAATGTATTCGATACCCCCATCTTAAGAGGAGAATGAAAAACACTTTCTGCACTTTACTATTGCACTAACTTGCAAACACCTATCCATTTAAATTAAAGACACTGGTTTTTAGGGGCAGCAGTGTGAAGCCCCTCTGACTAAGGACCAGTTGTTTTCACTGGCTTTCTCTTACAGCTGCTAGAAGAGAAATTAGACCTTTGATTTATACTTTTTCATAGTTTCTGAAGTTTGCCCTTTACACTGCATTCTCTTTGCTGAATTAAAATTGAGATAMTTCATCTGTGTAATCAGTAAACTTGAATGGACAAAGTCATCTTGCTACAACTGTTCTGTTCTAGAACTTCAGCACTTTGTATCACTTTTGTATACTGGTATTCTGACTGTCCTGGAAACCACAAGAGCCATGTGTGAACTGTTCTCTGCTGAAAACTAAAGGAAGTCTTACTGAATTAATCTTTTTTTTTTCTTTGCTTTTAAGAGGTCAGGAATACAGCAGTTTAAGTGTACAGTTCTGGCTATACATGCAAGTGTCTTGAGAGTAGTATCTTAAAAAAGCATGTGTAAGTGCATCTATCAGCTRTACCCCATGTGTTGTACTCAAGAGACAACAGCAGGAGCTTTTTGCTACTTCTTTGCTACTGACAGCATTCATTTTGCTTCAAATTACAGATTTTGAATTTAAAAAAAGACAAATGTAACATTAACAATGSAATTCTACATCTTAGTGTAGAAGAAGGGGACAACTTTTTGTCTAGGCCATTCTTGTCTTGCATATAGTTAAAGTTCTCAGGCAAGCTTGTTAGGCCTTAGTTATTCTATAGTACAGGTCCAAAAAGCCAGTCTAATGCTTCCTCTAGCTGAATTAAGGCTAGGCAGTTAAGTGTTTAAAAATACCAGTATGCAAAGGAGGCCACATATAAAGTAATAAAAAACAGGCCAGTGGCCTCTAAGCATGTTTGCCTACACCAAGAGTTTTAGACTATATAAGCTGCCAGTGGTCGCTCAGTGCTGTTCTTTCTCCCCTTTCTGTCTCCCATCCTCCCCCCAAACCTTTGAGATCCAGAACTTCCATTTAAAACATTTTTACAGTTCCTACAGCTGAACTGCAGCACAGTGCAGGAGATGTATATTATCTGGGARCACTTGCCCATTGCTAATTAAAAACTTCTACAAACTGACCAGCAATACCCCATACCCCTGTCAACAGTAGAAAAGACTGCAACTTCTCCTGTTGTAGTAGTTAAATCAAAATATACACAGGATACATGAACTGAATTCTAGAGCTGACTGTCTGTAGACTAAAATGCCTTTTTATAACGGGCTGTTAACAYACACCCTATCTGCTAAGTACACAAACCAGGGTTCTGGGAAGAATTCATACTAGTTGCACTTACACCAGTTTTGCAAAATAACCACTTCTGCAGTTTCAGCACATAGACCTATGGAAGAGAAAAGCCTGCTCTACTGCCATTTCAAACTCTGGAAACCTTCTGGACTTTCCCTGAGGGCTCAGTATCCATCATTAGTTCCCAGGCTGGAATCCATCAAAATAGCAGTTTCCTTGCAGTAGCTACATAGAGAACTTGGTTCTAGCAGCCAAAGTTGAATCACCATAGCTGCAACTAAAGGAGCTCTCCTCCTTTCCTATAGCTCCTGTTTCTTCCTTCAGCATATTACTGAAGGCCTGTCCCTTCTTTTCAAATTAAGTGTTCTGCATCAGTCCAATTAACTGTTCAAAGAAGGAGTTCTGACTCTACTCAATCTAGTAGCAGAAGCGAGCCTTAGCTGCAGATTTGGTTTTGAAGGTCTGGAATCCATCCCATCCATGGTTGTGGTTCAGGAGTCCCCTTGTGTATTATATACAGTTGCATCGTATTCCCATATGCTACAGAACACAAAGCAGGAAGTTTCTGGCAGCCTATTTACAGTTCACAGTTGTAAAGTAGTTGACATTACAGTAGCAGCTCCATCAAAATAGGCTCAGCTAAACATTCAAGTAACAAAAACCAGTAGTAGTCTCTTCACACCAGTATATCCCTGTGCCCACTGCTGGCAATGGACATTGCGCCAGGCAACTTAGCTCCTGCCATAGAGGAATTGGGATATATGGTCAATGCAAAGTGCAACTTCTCAGTCCATGCAGTTGCAAAGAAAGCTTAATTCTCATCAGGGTGTCTTCTGTTGAGTAGTGTGAATGTGACCAGGTTCTTCACAGTATTGAGATGYTTCTGCTGGTTACACACATCATGAGCACAGTCCATCTGCACGTGTTGCCCCAGGTTAGCTGTGTGCTTCTGGGCCRTTCGGAGTTAGCTTAGCTTTCCTCTCCACACAGGGTCCTTTAGCAGAGTACTGCACCAACAGAAAGGGCTCTTTGGTTTCTCCTTCGCCCACAATGCTCTCCTCATCCTCAGACTGGCTGATCTTCTGCAGCCGCAGGTAGCACCAGCAGCCCAGGATCAGGGCCCCCAGAGCTGCAATAGCAATCAGGATAACAATGACAGTCACCACRCCAGTGGTGGGGCTGTGATCCATGATAGACATGGCCAGTAGTTCAGGTCGAACTCTTCTTCAAGGAGATTCTTACCTCCTCACTGTCAGTCTTGATACATCTTCAAACTCCTGTAGGGTTACAAATAAATAATGAAGTTGTGCAGTTTTACCACACTCAGCAAGATTATATTCATAGCTAGTATCCTCCACAATGGCACAYGACCCTCTTGCACTCAGTGTTTTGTGCTGCACTGTCACAGATTCAATGAACCACACTTTGGCTCTTGTCATGCTAGCTGAGATAGCACAGGGTCAGCCTACTAAGAGGTAACAGTTTTTACTAGGAGATGTTAGACAAAGCAGAAGGCTGTATGGGATTTATACAGTTTAGGGAGATTTAAGGTTTGATACAAATGCTGTATCAYGAGAAATATCTCAAATCCATGACAAGATAGCAATTCAGCTATCTTTAGTTTTCCTCAAGGAATTCTACATAAACAGTACATTTAAGTGTCTCACCCTTTTTAAAATTAAATTTACAAACATCCTTCTTCTGTACTAAGATTTTCAGGATTGGTAAGTTAATAGTGAAGGTAATTGCAATGGTAATGCATTACTCTTAAGTTTGTCCGTAACACTGGTCTGCCTAAAAGGGCAGAGTGCACAGTAGTTAATTGTTTGTTCATTGAGCTGATAAATGTACATAAAACATATGTTACTATTTTTCATAAGAAGCAGGTATCCTATATTTAAGACCAACGAAACATAATGGAAATATCATTATTTTAAGCTTCTGCTCCTCTTAGCGGCTTTAAAACTATAAGAGAAGGCAACTGTTAGGAGTGCAGCTGGAAYTGGAAGAGAGGCAGCAGGCAGGAAGCTGGAAGAGCTCCAGGACTTCTTTAGTTTGCTGTAGTTTGAGCAGCACAAAAAAAATGTACAGGTAATGTCTTTTGCTACTTCCCCTTCCAAAGTCACAACCCCATTTAAAAAGTCATATGAGCCTTGTCTTCAGTTTCAGTTATTGTTTACAAAGCTGATAGCTTCACTTCCTTCCTTCAACTAGTCATTCATTCATTACCATTTCTTTCCTACTACCCTAGCTCTACAACAAAACAAAAACTCCTGGAAGCCTTTAATAGAGACCAGAGCCAGTCCTATCCAGGAACATCTCTTTCCTAAAACAGTCATAATCAGATTAGGGCTCAATGCTGCCATTTCAGGTACAAAAGGTGCAGTCCTTAGAGGCCAGCTGTGTAAGTGCACATTTCCTTTCTCCTGACCTGTACCCACCGACTGGCCAGTGGGGTAACAGGAGTAACTTCTGGCTGCCAGTCTGTTGAGGGTCACATACACCTTTCCAGGAAAGGCTCTTCCTCACCATCAAGGCTGCAGTCTCAGCTGCAAGTGCAGCATGTTCATACAAACCCCTGAGGAGAAGTCATCTTAATCCACCGTGAGCCAGGACCATTGGGTTACARTGAGTGTTACCCACTGCACCACATGCCCTTCAGCATGAGTCAAGGCAATTACAGTGCAGGATCTTTACGAAAACAGCTCAGGCTRGAGACTAAGTTTGTTTTCTGATGAGAGAGCCATGYGTRTCACCATTTCAGCAAKGATACCTCCAACTACAGAGAAGTTCAGCATGTGTCATTAGAGTCCRATGTGACGTAACTTGCAGGCACTGGTTACATTTCCTGCCCTGTACACTACAAGTTGTTGATTGCTATAGTTTATCTGACAGAACCAGTCAAATTCTGCAAACCCAATTTTGCTTGAGCAGTGAAACCAAACCTGACCATAGCACATACCCTCAGCAGGGCCTTGTGCCCACTGCAGCCAGAGAAGCACAAGATTTGTCATAATCACCTTGCAATGCTTATTCAACACAGGGTGATCAGGTGAGGTGATTAAGAGTGACTTTCATGTAGTGCATTTTCCTCAGGGCATGTCTGAACAGCAGCACTGTTTGATCCAGCCAAAACRGAACAACATCAGCATAACAGATAGTTTACCTTACTTCTCATGCAGGCACTGCACATCTGCACATTRTAACTGTATTAATAAGAACTTGGAGTGGCCTTTGGAATACGTGTTATTTTCTAGACATMTAGCCCCAACCTTGCTACTCTTTCCTCCAGCAGCAACTGACTGAAATCCAGATTAAGGTGTCTCCACATCCCTTTCTTGACAGGGSAAATGCTGCTTTCTGTAGATCCCCTTAAATTGGTCTAAAGGCTGCAACTAGGTTTCACACTCTCCCCTTAAAGCCTACATAAGCTAAAAAAACTCCATTAACAGGACCAGCAATGCCTTTGTCATTTTTACTGTAAGATACTAGAGGCTGTAAATTTCTGATCTTCAAAGGRATTGCCAACACCATCCATACATAATTGGTGGCATTTGTAGTGCTGTGTCTCTTCCCACCACACTTGCGATCAAATCAAGCATCTGAGCATATTTGCTCATTAGCAAGATTAGTCAGATCACTGGTGTGAACTGCAAATAGCCTATTTCAGTTCTTGCAGCAATCGAGCAGTGAAAACATCAGCTAGAAACTATTTTTCCATAAGCAACTGATTCTTTTATTTTTTTGCCTAATAACAGCTTCTACTAAGAAATTCATTTGTGAAGTTTTATTATCCAATTCAGAAGCTGTAACTAAAGGACAAACAGAAAGGCAGTTTAAATTGCAGAGGGCTGCTAGGGGACAAATGCAGTGCAAGGCTGGAATTAGTTTCTAAACCAAGTTTTTCATKATTACAGGCATTATGCTACTAAGTTCACTACTGTTAATGCCTGCAGGCATGTTTCAGTGCTACCATTCAAGTCAYAGCTATAGGAAGAGGCTTCAAAAGTAAATCTACTATGGATCACCCAMATATACTGAAGTCCTTAGCAGCAGTTATGTTCAAGTGCTAAATCTTTGGGGGAGTGGGATGGCAGGGAGGGGAGAAAGTGGAAGCTACTGTATTGTATTATAATATTCCACCTAAAGTAAGTTAAATGGGGCATAGTAAAGGAAATGAGAATAAAACTATCAGTGACCTTCAGCTTAAAAAATTTGAAAAAGAATCAGTAAAGGCTGTTTAGTTAAAAAGCCTCCAACAACAGTTTGTAAACAGCTTGTGTTTCTAATTGTGAAAAATGCTTTTTTCTTGTGCTAGTATGTCCTTTTGAGGAATGCTGCATACTCATCACCACACCATCCYTCTTGCCACTGGAAGACAAGACAACCCATTAGGAATACCAGTGCTGTGAATTTACCATTGACACACTTGTGTATACAGCACCCAGCCAAAGAAAGCAAGGCCTTTACAATGCAGGAGGKCTCAGGCTTCACCACTTACAGATAAAAAAAGGTGGCATCACTGTTACTCTTCATTAATTCCAGTTAATACCACCTCTTTCTGACAATACCAAGTTATGCTGCACAAGCTGGGGCTTGGCCAGAGGCTATTTTAGAAGCAGGGGGCTGTTTAGCAGAAGCCTTCAATGCAAATCATCTTTTCCCAACTCTTAATTACAGTTTTGATGAGGAATAAAAGATCAGGGAAGGGTTCTCTGTGCCTAATTAGCTGTGGACAGTACTCCAATAACTTGCATTCAAGCAGCTGTTAGAAACTCTAGAATGAAAGCTGATACCTAACAGTGTAGACTGGAACGGCAGTTAGTTCCCACATGACATGTAATAGTACCTTAGACTTAATTAAGACTCTTAAAGCTTTGCAYCAAGCTAAATCACACAGAAGTTAGTAGCTTAGAGAAGACAGCAAGATGGTGAGATGAGAGCAMWGCAGTCTAAGATGTTTTTCAGACACTACGACAGTTTCAAGAGCAGACAGGCTTTCTCAGCAGCACAGCAAGTGGAGGAGGTTTATGCTGTAACTGCCTGTCAGGCAAGTCAGCCAGTTAATGCAGAACTGGAAACAGGCTTATAGTGTTAAGACCATGTTTGCTTCAGAGGCAATTGCATGGCTGGCAAAACATCTGTCAGACTCCAGATTTTTATCTGTCAGTGTCATAGCCACATGGAGCTSTAATGAAAAGTCTGTCCTGACATGATAAGAGCCACTTCTGACATTCCATTACCAGAACTAACATGTTGTATATATCCTGTGGCATAGCTTAATTCTTGATATATTAGAAAAATTGTTGAGATGCCAACATTAAGTTTTTTGATAAAAACAAGTTTTCCTATTTAGAATCAAGATAGCTCTCCAAATGTGTAGTTTTGGGGATATTTTTAAGGCTTTTTCCAACAGTAACTACGCAGCACCAGACATTTCTGATAGTTTTTATACACAGCTCAAATCTTCAGACAGCAGATACTCAAGAATCAGTCACGTACCTGCACCAAGCAGCTGTGGCTAGGAGTCCTCTACGCAGAGTTTCTGAGTCACCTYATTAGAAAGGCGAAGGTCACACACTGTTTTTGGATCTTGTCTGGCAAGTCTTCCTCSTCACTCTTCCCCTGTGGAGAGAGATTACATTGGTCTCTAGCTGTTCTGCATCCTGAGTGCCTTTCACTCTTGGCTTTCCAGTTACATAATCATGTTTAACTACTGGCCTCTGGCGTAAGCTGTCAGGGAAAGATCCCTTACTGTTTCACCTACCTGCTAATCAAGGCAAGAGTCTCATAAGTGGTTTCAAGTTCTTTAGGTCTATTGAAAAGCAACATCTACTGAGCTATAATGCCTACACCTTGTATCCGGAAAAGAAAAGAGCACAAGACAGCACAGTACATTGCAGATATTCAGAGGAAGGATTAAGATTCAGTTTTAACAATGTGCGTTACCGTAAACTCCATAATTGTCATCATAAAGGTCGGTTTGGATATAACCTGCAGCACGCACCGAACTCCTCGCATTAGGCGAGCAGGGACGAGTCTCTCCAGCCGAGAGGAGCCCGGCGCTCGCCCCAAAGAGCCGCCGACGAGCCGTGAGGCATCGCCTTGTGACTGCAGCACGGCGGAGCGGCTGCAAACCGCCGGGAGACGGGGCCGAGCCCCGGGGCAGGCGAGCGAGGCGGCACGGGCCGCCCGAGCC